GTGGGTTATAGAGACCATTGCTAACCGTTATTTCGCAAACTGAGAATTTTACCGCTTCCATCTCTGTATCTCTTTTGTGTCCTTCTTGAAATCTACAAGAAGTAAAATTTTTTGACGAAACATTCGGACATCCGTAATGATAATACAAGGAAGGCAAACAATACATATATGCTCAAAACGTCTACGTCTGAATAAATCTCAAAAAAAATCTTGAGACTATTATCTTTATAATATTCTATCTGAAGATTTGAAAACACTGAATATTTGAAATTCTTGAAACACTTGAAAGAATTCCTTCTGAGTCACTGATTTTACTCGGTCAATGATTACGTATTTCAAATCGGGAACATGCTCACTCTGACACGTACCCATATAATTTGTCCCTTTATATGTTTTTTTTACATATTTTATATGTCTTTTATTGTTTCATTTTAATTACTTCAAATATCTGATCATATATCTGTGTATTTTGAAGACTTGTATTCACAAGTAAAATCTTTTATATAACTTCCTACATACATTCTTTTGAAATGTAACGTAGTTGAATAAATGTTATCTGAAATCTACCTAATTATTGCCTAATATAATATAACAATTTGAATCATATGACATTTCACCTTTTCAATGGATAATAATAACCAGAGTCGAAGTGTTGACTAATTAAAAATTTGGGCATTATAAAAAAAAACCAACACAATAAATGGACATGTGTGATGAACTAATTACCAATATCCGCAATAGAAAACAGATTCAACTCAAATGAAGAATTCAATTCTATTTGATCATTATGTGAATTTTTTGAATTCTTAAATCTATCAATTTCTAAGCATTCCAAAAGATTGGAGTTTCAAGCATTTTTCTTCCAAATGTAATACGTCATAGTCGTGGTTGAATTTATGCATCTCCACCAAATTATGGTTTTCAAATGTGGAATTGGTCTTCACATTCGAAAAATTACTCATATGTTCCTTTATTCTTTGGGAAAAGATCTTCACCATTTGGCCAATATGAAGTTTTGGGGACGAACCACAAGTCAACTCATATACTCCTAATATACCCGACACTGTTTTGCCTTTATTGTTTTTAATGAATTTGCCTTAATTATTATTATTTCTGTGAACCTTTCTTTTTCAAAAAACAAGCGATGTTATTGGTTCGTTCAACAAGTAAGTTAATGTTAATGGCTTGTTTTTGTAGTTTTTTGGGAAGAATGGAATCAATAATACCTACCTTGTAACCGCAGTTGACAGCAATATATTTGACAAAACTCAGTTTCATCTGAAAATAAATTTCTGACAGTGGAAGATTCAGTAGTCTGTGAGGCATACTATTAAATGCTGCTACTTTATAAGATAGTTCGTGAAAAATTGCTAAATCATGTTTATTATCAATTTCAGAATTAGTCATGTCTAAAAAAATTTCTAATTAGTAATCTTTATTTCAGTGGTGAATTTTATTGATAAGTAAATGGAAATGATAAATTCTACCTGCCTGCCTGTACCAGTATCATTTACGTATCTGTACCAGTATGAGAAACTGTTATTCAACTGGTTTTCCATAAAAATTGTCAGCTAGCAAAGGACTCAACGGGTTTTCCTCTCAACTCAACAAGATCATTTGTTTCAATAGGCGGAATCCTGAAAAATTAATTTTGCACATCAAACGATATAAAATACGCCTCAACTCAAGAGTTATTTTTGTGATGTTATTCACTAATTGATATTCATACTACAGTTTAAAATTAGTGCAAGGTTTAATTGTCTGAGCATTTTTGATATTCTATCAGAAATTTTACGGCGACTATTGAATAAGGTCGTTTCGATTATCCTCCGTCTGACTATCGATTTTTGCGAGTGATTCGGAGTTATCTGATATCAAAGTATCTCCAAATGGGACGTTAACGTGTATTTTGTAATAAGAAGTTATTTATTTAGTGCCACTTCGAGTCTATCAGCGATTATTTGGTGAAAAACAATATTTATTTATTAATTCCTTGGTTAGAAATCTACACCCATATTGCTGTAGTCAGTAAGGCATGAGCAAATAGATCAAGTAGTGCGTATATTCTAAATCATGCCTTTCAGCTCCCGCTTATTTTGATTTGTCAGTCCGCATTCAATGGATGTACCGATTCAACTCGGGAAAATATACACGGAAACGTTTGTAGTGTCATAAAGAATACTCTTAAAATAAATGACTTCACTCATCAAAACTTGAAAGATTGTTACAAAATATCTGAGAAAGTGATAATAGTAAAATTCAATACTCATGAAAAAAACAAAAATATATAACTCAAAAAAAACAGTTGAAGGGAAATAAAAGCGTTGGAAAACTACGGCAGTATGGACAGTAAATGGAAAAAAGCGAATCTATATGGATAATGGAATCCTCGAATTCTAGTCTAATCAACAAGTTCAAAAACATGAAAAATAGAGATGAAGGTCCTAAAAATATAAGCGATAGCTCATTCGATTCGGAATCACTTCTAGAAAAATGTTTTTGAAGAAGTTGTGGAATTGGTCGCGGTGGTAGTGCGCCCGACTTACGATCGGAAGATCGTGGGTTCGATTCCCGCTTCGACCAGATATTTTTTTCGAGAGAATTTATCTGATTGAGTTGGAATGATTCTGCAACCGTGTTAGAAGTCACACGTTAAAAGATAAGACCTCGTTAGTCCTTAGCTCGCACAAGTTCTCAACTTTTGAGAGTTGTCGTTCGCATGGGGGCGACAGCTGATTAACGGAAAAACAGATTTTAAAAAAATTTTGATGCAGGTAAAAAATTGCAATTGTTATTAACAAAATAAGATAAAAAAAAGGTATTTAGTTTTTCGTAGAAAAACTAAAAACCATTTTTATCTATCTTATTTTGTTAATAACAATTTATCTGCACCAAAATCTTTCAAAACCTTTTTCTAGAGGTGATTCCGGATAGAATGAATTATCGCTCATATTTTTAGGACCTTCATCTCTATTTTTCATGTTTTTGAACTTGTTGATTAGACTATTCGAATGAACTCCATAAATTACTTGTCACTGAGACTTTTTGATGTGGACATTCATAGTCAAATTTGATCTTCAATGTATTTCTGTCTTTCTGTTTTTGATGAATGCAAAGCGACAGAAATGATTCACATGCTTCTAAAAAAACAAATATAAATATACAATTTTTCCGATTTTTTTTGAGCGATTCTTCTTGTATCACGAAGTTAGTATCTTCAATACTATCGAAAAAAAAACAGCTGTCTTTATTATCTTTCAGATATAGATTTGAAAAAAATTGCTTGAATAAACAGTGATATTGAAGTCAAATAAGCAAAAAAAGTTCTTCATCACCAATGACAACTCCCCACACCGTGGGGTAAGTGATTGTTGAGTGAGAAAATCATGTGTCCTGAGAAAGCGCAGTGAGCCAAAAATGACAGCGCTCTGCATTTGCCGGCTGAGATTTCTGTCTTAGTGCGGCAAGCCGGTGTGATCTTGACATTCAAGAGTTGAGTGGGCATCATTCCACCATGGACTTCAATAATCACAACAACTATCTTGACAGATTTGTCTGGATAGTATTTGTGGAATTCGATGAGGAAATCTCGATATTTTATTCATTAATCCTCCTCTTTTCGCACAATATTCGTTTCGCCAAGAGCTGAAAACTCCACAACAGATATTGTCTTGCTCTAATGGTCGAGAAGAACTACATCAGGCTTATTAGTTTGTATGAGCCTGAGGGTGAGAAACGAATAGCTTCAATAAAATAGGCACTTCTTATTTCCCACAATGATTTGTGGTATTGACGAAACACCGGTGTTTCGTCAATACCGTAAGAGTGCCGTAGGTGGTAATAAAGCATTCTTATAGCCGCGTTATATAGATGGACTGAGACCGCATATGCTTGACATGCTGATAGCGAGTGCATTTGGGTCTCAGTTGCTTCGTGGCAGGCCCGGTACCTTGAGTACATTTATACCCATCACGCCACAGAGGTGCATAATTTTTTCGGGTCTGTACGTCGAATGGATACATCTCCTCCTCTCGAGTCCACTTCACTACCTCAAACGAGTAGTGTCTAAGTTTGTGCTGATACTTGCCGCGTAGAGAGTTCGTGATGCTGGTAATTTCTGTTGCTCCACCCCAAAGTAAATACACTTTCTTCGGCATCCAGATGGTGCAGGATGCTCCCATCTACGTCCTCTTTTCATATGGACCGTTACACATCTCGAATTTCATAGCGATGGCATGTGTGTACTCTTTCATCATCTTCAAGGACTGATGGAGATCTTTTTCTCCAGAGACATAAAGTTTCTGTTCATCTATATAAAAAAAATAGGTGAGGTTGAGCCTTTAGTTTCCGGGGGTGCCACAGTAATACCCTCGAGTATTCTTGAGCGCAATGGTTAATGGTATTAGTGAGATGCAGAAGAGAAGGGGATTGAGGGAATCTCCCTGAAATACACTAGTTCTGGAAGTGACCCAGCCTGTTTGGACTCTATAGCCTGATCAGAGTTTAAGGTGAAGTGTGTCCGGTAGAGTGATATTAACAGTTCAGGGTATCGAAGCAAATGCAAGATGAGCTCATGCAATGTTGTACCAAATGCCTTGCGGTAATCGATCCATGCCATAGAGTCCTGCATTACACATCTATCGATGAACAGATTCTGTTCTTCTCTCTTTGACTCACTCTGCTTATATATCCCTTTAAATACTCTGATAACCACGGTGAGTATTTGTGTATATATGATGCTCGTAAACAACTTGTAACACGAATTCAAGTATGTTATCGGTCAATAATTTTCAGGAAACGACGAATCTCCGCTTTTGGGGATAAGAACGCTTAGCTCCTTAGTTCAGTTATTATTCTCATATCAATGGATCAATCGATAAGTTGCTAATAAATCAATCGTGTAGTAATATGGATTTTTATGAAACTTCTTTCATTCACCTCTTTGTACAGAATATCATAAAATATCAGTTCAAATAATATTCAGAATTTTTTTGTTGCAGAAAGTCCTGCTGAGAATGAGGAAGAAGAAACGGTTGAAGGGGTGGTGTCCCTTAATAAAATGGGGGGCACCGATACTTGTATTGATATCCCACGTACGGAACTAACCAGTTGTCTGTTGGAGAAACCCCCTATCGGCAAGAAAGTCAAGGTGAGTATGTTACAATAATATCAACATGAATTATTCGATATCTTTATATATGTCTAAAATTCAGTATTGATTGTGATATATTGTATTGCCTACAGAGTTGATCTTATTGACAAAGCTATCGATTCAATTCAAATGCGTTTATTATTCAATTTTGTGAAATATATTGGGTTTTCTGTAGTCTTGTTTATGGGGCCCCTGTTGAAGGCTATGCCTCTTTAGATATGGGGTTGGTATAAAATAGTTTTTTTGAGGTTTGACTTTACTACAATTTTTTTATTTTATCTTAGTACATCTCGTTTCTGTTAGCGTTTGGCAGTGGTGGCAATGCTCTCATTCTAAGTTATGATGCAGTTCAACTTGTCCAGTTTCCAATCTAACTGTATAATTGGACGTACTTCTAGACAGTTGTAGGAGGCCTTCAAAACAGTTCAGCTGGTAGATCCGTAGCCGAGCAGTTTGACGTGGGTGCTTTGTTCACTCTCTCATACGACCGATGTGTGAGTCGGTGGTTCAAGCCGCAGGCTGAACGATCGATGTTCACTTGCTATCGTCCATCTCGTGTTAGGAATCATACGTTGAAAGGAAAGACCTAGTTAGTCCTTAGCTCGCAGCTGGTCAACGAAAAAACATATTTCATTTTCAAACCCGTTCGAGAAAAGCTGTATATCTTATTCCCCATATAAGACTACAGTTGGATGAAACGCTTACTGAAGTATCAAAAAATTTGATGATACTATGCCAAGAATTCATTTTCATCTAAGACAATAGCGGCAATATAGCTTCCAAAGCTTGAACTTTTAATGATTAATAAAGATGATTGATTGATTGATTCCACCATTATGAAAGTCAAATCGAGTATTCAGAATGACAACCCCGACATTGAAAATCCATTTTCAGCCATCAATTACCGGAATGTTCAACAAAACAGATTATGGCATCAACTCTGAATTCCAATCAATCCAATACACGATAAAAAATTAATTGGATCGTCGAGGAACGTGGTAACTGTCATATGTAAACCATAAAAACGAGATTATTGGTTTTGCAATTATAATCTCTGCATGCGTTATTGGCATTGAAACTTTGCCATATTGTCTTTAATGCTCATTTAATAGTTCTTATGATATTGGAAACTATCATAGAGCTTCATTCGTTTTCACCAGATATATACTTTACAATATCGAAAAATTTCGTTTGATTGAAATAAAACTACATTTCATCGATCATCTCCAATACAGTTTTATCACTTTCGATAACAAATGAATGTAGATCGGAATAAAATACCTTCAATAAATAATTCTTGGATCAAAACTGAGATGATGAAGTCATGATCATTCGAGTTATGATATTTCAGAAAATTATACAGGGTGACCCGAAAGTTCCGGTATGGCTCAATTACTGTAAAATGTGAAGCGGTAAAAAAAACAAAGTATATTGGGTATAGGATTAATTCTACTAGTTTGGACTTCCTTTGTCTAATATATAAAATGATTTGAAATCCCTGAAAAAACTAAAAGAGAAGAAATAAAAATAAATAGCTGAAAATAACAATTACATCAAGCAAAAAAAACCTGAAATGAAATAATAGTGAAATGAAATACAAGTAAAAATAAGACAATTGAACAAAAAATAAAAATAAAGAAATACAAACCGAAAATAAAAATAAAAAAGTTAAGAGATTTCAAGCCAAGTAAGTTCACGACGTTTCGATTGTTNAAATTCATCATGAAACATTGTCAATCACCTTCAAACAATGGGTATAGGATTGTTTCCTGGTTTCATTATAGTAACCTCAGATTTGACCCTGACCATACCCCTCAAAATGTTTTTCTCAGGAGCATAGGAAGCGGAAAAAATAATGATTATATTTGATCTCTGAAGGTCGTTTGAAAGCCAAATATTAAAAATGGTAGAGTAATCAAACGACTCAATATATTAGCGAAAGAAACAGCATATATTATTTCATTTGTTGCATTCCAAACGATAGAGAAATAAAGCCAATAAAAGGCAAGGTTATGTATAGAAACAGCCACTAAAGGTAAAGGATGTGTGGACCTAGTCAGTGAAAACAAGTTTAAGTGTAACCTATCCAGATTGTGAACCTGGGATCTTAGGGGACAGAAATATTGGACCAGAAGGTGATTAGGGATATACTTGATTTCTCGCTTCTTCTCTTTTTGAAATGAAATATATAGGTTCAATTTCAGAATGTTAGGACATACATGAAAATATCATAGATTCTTTGTACTGAATGAATTCAGTGTCACTCAAAGTCGTATTCGAATATAATTTCACCTACATATTTGATTTCCGAAGCAAAAATATGAGTTTCCGTTCAAAAACTAACCTTGACCTTCAAATAATTTGGAAGGTCATGATCAGAATTGAATCTGAGGTCTCCGTCTTATCATTCAGTTTGAACGATTTTCAAATAACTTGATAAACAGTATGGGTCCCATTCACAAAAGTCATTTCGACCTTCGAATAATCTGTAAAATCGTAGTCAAAGTTAACTGCAAGGCCATCATCGGATGACCAGAAAAGAATCCTATGCTTTCAGAACTTTGTTTTTGAATGCCCAATGTTTTTGAGTTGTTGAGTCAAACCTAATTATAGCAAAGCTTCATTTCACTGAATGAATTAAGATCTTTATTCTCATCACACCTTTCATACTTTTTCTCATAATTTTTAGTGTTTGAAGAATATTTGTTGAAAACTTTTTTCAGCCCTGTTTTGAATATTCTAGCATTTCAATGCACTCAGTCTGTTCTATCCTTCTGTACATCTGAAATGGGTCTTCAATCATTCGAGGGGTATCCTATGATGTATATAATAAACCCAAACATAGATTATACCGCAAATTAAATCAGTAGTGTTCAAATGACTTCATGATTGAAACTCATCAGTTTTCTCGTCTTGGTTATTTTAATCCCAACTACGCAAGGAAAAAATACTGTTTGCACTTTGAACACAATAACATTAAAACATTTTCCAATATGGCAAGTCATTGGCGCATACGTTCTCTTTAATTCTTCGTTTCACATTCAGTTCACTGATCGTCTTTAAATTGCGTTGATCTATCTTCTTAACTCACAGCGGTGTTGCCGAAACTCAATTACATTTTTACCAAATAGGTTAATGCCCAGAAGGCTGATAAATAGTTGATTATTTGTTATCGTCCTGCCTAATTTTTTTCGTATCATCACTTCATAACCATTTGCATCCAGGGGCTAGCTGCACCCCCTTCACCTCGCTAGGTACGCCTATGCGGTGTATTATTCTCTACGTAGATATTTTACGTTATTGTTTTCATTCATAAAACTAACTGTTAACCCCCTGTGAGGTATTCACAATCAAAGACTGAATTTAATTATTAGTAGATTAATCAGAAATGTGTATTTGAGTCCTCGGTTCAATTTCAAGACTCGCCCTGAGCACTGAGAGGTTTTATTGAACAGTTAACTTTATAAGCAGTCGCTTTGCGATTACCCCAATTTTGTGCTTATCCAATTCCTCCGGGCATTGGAAACTCCTGACGTAACTTCTTCTGGTTCGAAGTCAATTCGATTTACATAATAATGGATCTTCCGTGATTCAATTCCTTCTAGATGTTTTGGAATTATTTTTGATAGCTACAGAATTCAAGACATAGTTCAGTTCAATTTTATAATCGTGGTGGAATGTTGACGAATACATATATTACAGATTTCAATAGTGATTTTGTCAGTTGTGTAACGGTTCTCAAGAGGGACAAAATGCAGAAATGAGGTAAGATTGTTTTCTATGACTATCATAAGAAGCGTCGTTCATAAGATCGTTTCTTGTAGGGTAATGTTTTCATGTTTCGTCCTCCAAGTAAGCAATATCCACTACTCAATACTTTCGAGGCCAATCACAAATGAGCAAATATATTACTTCAAACTCTTTATTATTTTCATTCACAAGTCATCCTTGAGAATCTGCCTACTTTGAATTGTTCCCAAACGTCATACTTCACCATTGAACTGGAAGATGATGAAGAAATCATTTATAAATGAAACACCTGAAGAAATACAATAAAATGAGACTAGTTGGACACTCTACTAGTTTCATATCACATTCATCAGTGAGAAGCTTGGCAAAATTGTGGTTGGACTCGGCTCATAAACAAAGATTTTGTGTTCAAATCTCATGAATTCAATCGTATTTTCAATCAGCCAATTTTTCAACTATTTTGCTTTTTGTTATGAGGTTTTATAATATTACTCTCGTTTATTCTTCATGAATGAATTTTATTTTGAAATATTTCTGATGTCATAGAGAAAGTATAGTATTCTACTAACAGAAAGGGGTTATCACTCGCTTGAATCATCAAAGTCAAAATTTGTAGTTTCATATGATACTATTTCTATTTTCCAAAAAATGCTTTTTGACAATACGCCTTCGTAAATTCATGTTGTAGTGATTATGGATCATCCATGAAATATTTTCATATTTTTGGGGAAATATCAACTTCCAATTTCACGAAAAACACAGTTTTCACTAGAAGCATCTGAAGAAATAATTGAATAGAACTGGCCGATACTTGATGAAAATCCATAATAATACTAANCTTTACTATTGAAAAACAGTTATGATGAGATGATGTGACAAGTGTCTTGTCCCGAAACTTCGGAGTTAGCCATTGAGAATCTTCCATGTAAGTGAAATTTCAGAGCATGACACATGATGTGGAATTATGTATCTGTCATTATTGTGTAATTTGCATAATGAATGATATCTGTTTAAATTCCATAATGGATGTTTGAGGTAGAACCTGAAAAGGGAAAAGCGATTTTCGTATAACACAAAGATCATATGAAAATAGTTGTTTTTTTTTTAATAAATTGATGTAGCCGTTACCACGTCGTAGAAAATCATCATGAAAAATGAGAATTGGAACTCTCTATGTTTTTAACCACTTATATTTGTAACTAACGTTACTGCAGTTTCGTCCAATAAGGACATTTTCAAATGTCTTTAATAACAGAGGTACCTGAATTTTGTTCACCTGTGACAATGTTGATACACTAATTTGAAAACTGGTAAGTAAACTAGGTCGATTTGATCATTTAACAGGTTGCACCCGCAATGTTTATGATTATGAATTTCCAAGGATTTTAAATAATTTAATTTGCAACCTTTCCTTCCATAGTGCAAAATTTCCGTATCGTTTAGATTCGGAAACTCTTAGTTGCATCCCAAGGGATGGTTTGAAAATGTCGAATCATTTTTACCTAGTCTGAGGGACCTCTCATGTTCAGGATACCATTTTGAGAAATTTATTTATTCATTTATTTATTTATTTACGGGTGAACCCCAATATTTGTTTACAATAAATTGTGTAACAATAGAAGCATATACTATACTATACTAATTATTATAAATACCTTTATGTGTGTAACAAAAGACAATAAAAACAGACAGTATTAACTAATAAAATACATTTATATGACTAATGAGCGAGAGACTTGTTTTTTAAAAGATTGAAACAAAGCTTGGCATCTAACAATATACCTCCAGATGTCTCTAACTATTCCACTTTATCTTTGATGGCATTGAAAGGGAAATCAGATAACCTGGTATGTGGTTTGAATGCCACTTCCACATTGTTTTTTCTGAAAAAACTGGCAATTATCTCTGTTTTTCCACAAAATATATTGAAGTCAACCATTTCTTGATTTCTGATTGTCTGATCTGGGGTATAATTACCTGTAAGTGGATTTACGGCTTTGCTCAATTAGAAATTAAGAAATGGGTACCTAACTCTAACTTATTTTGGTGACAGAACAGAGATAATTGCGGGTTTATTCAGAAAAAAAAATGTGGAAGTGTCATTCAGAGCATATGCCAGGTTATCCGATTTCCTTTTAATTGCCAAAAATGAAGTGGACATTTTGGAGAAATCTGGAGTTTATAAGCTTGAGTATCCGGAGTCTAAGAGTGTTTATTGAGGGTCAATGTGGTCGAAATTTCTCAAAACGGTATGCTGAACTCGAAAGGTCCTTCAGACTAGGTAGAAATGATTCGACGTTTTCAAACCATTCCTTGGGATGCAACCACAAGTTCCCGAATCTATACGTTACGGAAATTTTGCATTTTGCAAGAAAGGGTTGCACACTCAATTATTTGGAATCCTTGGAAATTCATAAGCATCAACATTGTGGGTGCAACCTGTTAAATGATCAAATCGTCACAGGTAAACAAAATTCAGGTACCCAATCAAGTTAAGTACTTATATCTATTATTATCTACAGTTTAATATATAGATTTGAAAATGTCCTTGTAGGACGAAACTGCAGTAAGTTACAAATAAAAGTGGTAAAAACATAGAAAGTTTCAATTCTCATTTTTCATATAAAATATTTGTTTTGAGAGTACTTTTCTTTCGTATAATTAAATTTTCATGTGAAAGTAGTTATTTTGAGAGGACTTTTTCTTTCAGTTTGTATCTAATAGTTACTTCTATGCATTATGTACACATCTTTGTAAATAGTTCATTTCAAAATTAATTGCTTCATTCCTTCCTTTGGAAGTTTCTCACATTTTTTGTATACAGATGGAAAAATAGAAAGCCAAAAGTTTTTTTAATGAATATTCGAATGAATATGACTGTCTGCACATTTTGTAATCGAACTTGGCGAATAGAAATATTCAGTTTCGAAAGTATCTGAAACCTATATATTATTCAGCTGTCTTGATATAAATCAAAGTTCAGCTATCAGAATATTCAATAAAACAATTGACACAGTTGGATGACGTTGAGAATGTTGATATGAATATTTTAATGAAATTGGGAATTTATATACTGCAAGTAATTCTCAATTGAAAAAAATTGGTTAAACACCCTAAAAGTAAAACTTTTGTAAATCTGAAATACAATGTTGATAAATTTATGTTTAATGTAACTTTAGAAAGAATGAGAAACCTATTCTATGGTGCACAGTAGGTGGTCCATATAAATATAAGTGAACAAAAATAAAATATTTGTCACTACTTATTGATACTTATTGATGAGTTTAGCTCCACAAGGGAATACATCGGATTTTGGGCTCGTAGTTTCTTTGTTCATCCACTAAAATTTATAGATAAAAAATATGAAATATCAATAAAAATCAAATCATTTTCTTATTCAGGTGTGAAAAATGTCTAAATGAATTCCTACATAACCCGTCTCAGTCAAAGATATCTCATTAATTGATCAAATGCATGTTCATATTCATTCTATAAACTGCAATCTACTGGAGGCACTAGCTCCATTGTGATATTTTCCTGATTTTTCGTAATTTTATTATCAAAACGTTTTACATATACTTTGGCGCTTTGTAATTTCACATGTGCTTCAGTTTAAAATTCCTTAGATGCATCTATGAATTCAAACAAATTAGAATGAGGTTCATAAAAGTGCAACTTTATGTTTGAATGGAACGGTCCGCATAAATATGTAGTTCTGAAGCTTCAACCCACGAAGAAAATGGAAATTGAAAGATATAATCCATATATTTTTGGGAAAGACAGTTATTGGCTTTCTACTACTCCATCTTGATACAAAAAAAAGAAGGATGAGGGAGTCTTCCAAAGAAAGGAACGAAGTAACTCTATACATAATCCATATAATTTCTGACTGAGTATTCATGTTTTTCGTGATTTTGAGGTAAATTTACAAATATATTAAAGGCAAAACAGTCTTCAACTTCATAAGGATATAAATATGTCAATTCAAATAAACATCGCAGCCATTTTCCTAGTTTATAGATTCATAATTTTGATATTCAACAAAGCCTACGTTTTTATATTTTGTGCCAAAAAGCTTAGCTGACATAAATTTGGCAACCAACTCTTTTAAATTTCAGGTGCATATCGCTTACAGCAGAATGAAAGGCTGCCTAAAAATCAGAAATAATATGTTTTGGAACCAATGAACTATGAACTAATTCCAAACATGTTTTATCAAGTAACTTGGAAGACAGTATCGGATTGCATTTGAGTAGATAATTGGGACTCTGACACGAAATGTACACAAAATTAATTTCATAAATCATTCCATTTTCCGACAGGACTAATAGAGGCGCATATTGTATCTGCCCATCAATTTGTTGAATATATTTGAAATTGGACAGTCCAGTAAAATTTTAATTGTCTCAAAATTTCCATATCAGCTTTTTCTGAATTATACTTATGTGAATGCAATTCCATTTAAATTACTATCAGGAAAGCTAACAAGTTTTTTTTTCTCAAATCAAGGCAGTAAATCTGTGATACATAGGTACAATAATTTTTTTTAGAACACTGTATATAAAGATATGTATTATGTACGAGGAAGGGATGAGCTTGAAAAAAGAAAATGTTTCATAAAATATATGTTGCACTGAGTTGCTTGTTCTCGAACATTCTGTGCAAATGAATTCAATACAAAACATTTTTTCCATCGCTGTGTTGGCAGCTCGCTACAATCAAATGATATTCACGATATCAGTAATATCAGTCCCTGATGATCAGTAATGAATAATTGGCATAAATTTGGTGTGGTTATCACGATTGATTGCACTTTCAAAATTACATTTCACAGATATCGTCAGAATTATTTGCAAACATTATCTTTCAATTACTATTACATACATTTAACATACATACATACATCCGATACTTTTAACAAATTTATTAGTTTGTCAGTGCTAGGTTGAATTGTTCCTTATCCATATATACAGAACTGTCATTTATAACCGTTTAGTAACTGTGTTATAACCTCT